TATATTATATTATATTATATATACAATGTATATATGAAGTTATAAGAAGGTGTAGTATGATGTTATAAAAAGATACAAAAGAATATAATATCATATAGTATAGCTATACTATAGCTATATAATATAATATAATGTTATAATATAATGTTATATTATGTAATATAATATAATATTATATTATATAAGTAAAATATAATATCATGAATATATATATATATTATATGTATACATACAGGGTTTAGGGTTTAGGGGTTTCAGGTTTAGGGTTCGGGGTTTAGGGTTTAAGGGTTTAGGGTTATAGGGAAGATAGTGCGTGCAAAGAGTATGAGAATGTTCCACACAGGGTTCCTGGACCCGAATCATCCTTGAGGAATCCATGCTCCGACACTATGCAGGCGATACAAAACACATGAAATCAGGTCAACAATTGCTTCTGACCTAGACTCAATATCTGTCGATCAAGGAAACTAAGTTTAGATAGAAAGCCAGGGCACCAGATGCAATGCTTCTGCTCCGGCAGGTGTGATGCCATCGTCTTCGGCTGCAGCATGGCCCTCGGAGAAGTCCGCGCCATCAGCCTCAAATTGGTACAGGTATATATTTTAGGGTTTAGGGTTTAGGGTTTTAGGGTTTGGCGTTTATATAGTGGTGTTCGGGTTTATAAGGCACATGTGACAGCAGGAGACAATATATATATATGTTTAGGGTTTACAGAACTCAAGCAGAGTAACGAGCGGTGCCAGGACAGCTGAATCATCTCCTAGACCCGCTGCTGCATGATCATCTCCTGCATCCGCTGTTGCTGCTACCAAAGGTCCAAGGCCTCCTGCCCCACCATGCCCATCAGGCCCTGGTCCAAAACCAGGAGGAGTGTCATCATCATCATCGCCGTCACCCCCTGTAGGAATATCCCAACGGGCAGACATGATGTCCATCAGGGGCTGGAGCATCGGATCCTGGGCAGAGTAGTCTGTGTTTGACATGGGGCGAATGTTCAGTATAGTCATAAACACAGTTTTAAGAAATTTTCTATATGGTTTGCAAGTGTCACGGAAGACCACTTGTCCCGTACGGAATCGCCGGATCGCCCAGGAAGCCAACCGTTTCGAACCCCAGTCATCTACATATTGGTTGACAATATCTTGGCGGCTGCAAAGCATCTGGTGCACTTTGCGCACCTGTGCAGGTAGATTTTTTAATGCTGTTTTCACACATATAACCCTAGGCCCTAAACCCTTAACCCCTAAACCCTTATAATCTATATATGATCGAAACAAGGCACCCCGGCCTCAACCTATGTGGAACTTTGTCATTAGGTTCTAGACTGTCATGCAATCAACGGGCCTCTGCTCTCAGCCAACCGATCGGTGGGGACTTCGGAGAATCGGAGGTCCCCACCCAGACCTCCAGTACTGCAGCGATGGCGAAGCGGTTGAGGCGCAGGCTCGTTTTGTTTGCCACGCCGGTACTTGCTGGAGTGTCCCAAATCAAGAGCTTTCCGGTACGGCGCATTTGCCTGGGGTACAATAGGGAGGCTATAATTGTAATTGTATAAATCCGAAAAATACATATAAGGTATAGTATATAGAATGTTTCTATATTGCATATATTTTGGGTTTAGGGTTTAAGGTTAAGGACAGAGAAAGACAGGGAGGGAGAGATAACGAAAGGGCGATGTCTGTTTTAGATCACTCGTTATGGTGGCTATATTATTAGAGAGCAGCCCAAGTGCTCACGCAGGACGATGTGCTCGTCCCACTTCCTGGCCAAAGCAAATTTCGGTGGCCATGATGCAGGCCACTTGCCTGCATCGCTCTCTGCATCCGCCATGATCCCTCGAAGGAAGCTTGCAGCCTTTCTAAGCCCAGAGAAGCGATTGTTTCCAGAGCCCTAAAAGCCCTGATGGAAGCTTGTGTACGAAAGACCTGAGCTGTCGAAGATATGGTTGAGCTAGCATCTGCATGCATACCATACACATCAGCCATCAGAAGACAGCTGTCACGAAGGAAGCCGAGCCAAGCAGATATGCTGTATCGGAGCATCGACTTCATTCATGCACTTGAAAAGAACATGAAGCTGCACTCATGCCCATTGACACACCACAACTGCATGATTGTGTTCCACACAGACGATCCTGACCATTGCAAGCATTGCTTATCGCAGATCCATGCCTCGGCCTGGATCCAAGGATAGTCGGCCGAACTTCACCTGATCAGCTGGATGCTGATGGAAGAGAGCCATGCAACATGGGGTCACAGGTTCGAAAGCTTCTGGGTTGTCAGAGGATCCCGAGGCTGCTGTGCACACTAAGGATAGTGTGTTTTAATGATTAGTTCTCCAGGGCGGTATGGGTGCATGCATGCACATTGTGTCTGCAGGGATACACCATCTAAAAGTTGAGGCAGCAATGCACCACCTAGAGCTGAATCAGAGATCGAGCGCCTGGCCTGCCCAGTCGAGAAAGAAGCAAGCAGCGTTGGAGTCGCCTCGAAGCATCATGTGAAATTATACGTACGGCTATATACCAGGCTATATAGACATGCACTAGCCAGGTATATACATGTTGCTGCGTGCAGATGGCTAACAGGTATAGATCGATAAGCTGTTTTTTTGTCTCTTCACAAGCTATATATAGAGAGAGGCCCTTCCAGTGAGTATCTGTGTAAAGATCTGAGCAGATACAAGGCCTAGATACCCATGTCTATAAGAGGGTCTAGGGCTTCAAGATTCCAGGTTTTGGGTTTAGGCTTTATGATTGTTTTAGTTTGCATGCAGCATATACACATGTAACAAAACACAGTGCAACAAGTGCAATCGATCGGGCTTTGGCCTGCAGATGTGGCCGATACCACACACTGCAGTCCCAGGAAGTCGCCTGTCAGCAAGATTTATGCCAGGTACACACAGTAGGGAAGCTACACTCGAGGGTCGATGTATAAACAAAATTACATATATATATATATACCAATGTATGCATGCATTCCTTAATCGGACATATATATATATATAAAAGATATAGTGTATTTCATATGTTACTTATATACAGGTCTCCTATCCCAACATGTGCTTATGCAAGTTCATTGAAAAATGCAGTCGCCACCCTGCCTGCTGATGCGGTCGATACCACAATGCGCTGTAGTCCCAGGAGATGGCCTGCACACAACATGCATGGAATGCACTGTATCCGAATATGGAGCCTGCTATCCAGTCGCTACCAAATCATGCTGTAGTGACATGGGAGTTAGCCTGCTGCGTGGCATATTATTTTGTCTCTATATGACATATGCTAAGTACAACCTGGGCGTCATATTCAACATGCACCGACTGCATACGAAGGCCCTTGCCTGTTAGCATGACGATAGATCTATACATACACTCAGCTTCGAAGTGACACAACCCCCGCGCCCGATCCCGAATACTCAAATCTTTATCGGTCTGACCTGCCGAAGCACCAAGAGGCACCTCGGAAGAAGCCAAAGCAAAGGTCACCTGCCGGGTATACAAGAAAATGTTCATCTATTTTACATGTGCAGCCATCCTGTTTCAGAAGCAAGCATGCTATCGGAAGACATGATTCGAATGACAAAAATCGGCAATATCGCCTCTTCTCGTGGCCCAGGGAAGGAAGAAATCACCTGCCACCAACGTATATATATATATATATGTATATTAATTATAGGATGCAAATTTAACCTTAATCACTAAGCTTACAAAGCATATATATATAATATATTTATATATAATATATGTATATATTAAATTATCATATAGTATAGTATATCTATATAATATAGATATAGGATATACCCCGGGCAGGCACCAAGCACATGCAACGAATGCATGGAAAACCCTGAGCAGCACACTATCTCACATGTACAATGGACAATATAAGACACCATGTCATCGAGAATACCACACCACAGTGTTGCTTCACATCTGGCCTCCAAATCCAAGAGACACAGGAGGAACAAGAGAAGCGGCATGCAAGGCCTCCAACCAGAGACCATTCGTGATGAGTTTATCATGTGTGTCAGCCTGGAAATGATCCTAGCATTGCAGCTTGACTGAAGTCAGGATATGTTACGAACAATCTGTAACATGCCCGACCTCAACCGCGGATCTTGCCCCGGCGCCCTGCAGCACACCGCCACACGAACCTGCGTGGGGACGGTCCACTTGCACATGCCACATGTGTTGAGTCACAAATCTATACATGACTGCATTCGGCAACCGTTTGAGGAACCCTTTTCTTTGCCCGGCATGCCATTGCATGCTTAAAGCCCCAGTCCATGTGCTGCCCAGCCAACCCCTGGCTTCCACACTGCATCTGGAGCACATGTGCGACCCTGACCAAGCAGCCAAAAGCTCGATCACTCCAGGTTCTGAGCATAAGCTTCCTGAAGGGTTCGCCGAATGCCTGGGCTGCAAGAGAGGACAAATGGAGCTGTCAACAAGTCGCAAATTTTCAAGATTGGTAAAATATGCCATGCTTTTATAATGCTGTGAGAGTTGCCTTGAGCTCGGAAAACAGTCTTGAAATGGAGACAAATTCCTCCATGTCGAATGTTCTCCACCACATCACGGATCAGCACATCACCCGTGGCAGGCTCATCCTCTGCAAAGTAACCCCGGATGGAAAAGGAAAGTATCACTTCAAAAGCCATGTGTTGTACAGGGTCATCAACGATGCATGCATGGCCTGGTAGATCGCCTTCGTGCAGGCATACCAAAAGGTATCCTGCATCTTCACAAGTCCTGCAAAGGAGCAAGACTATATGGTTCTGCTGCAGAGAATCTTACCTTCAATCTGAGGTCTGATGGAGAAACCTACAGTCCTTCTTCATGGCACATGCCTAGGCCCTCCAGCGTGCATCCGGTGAGGGTTGCCACTGCAGTGTATGCCATTGCACGTTTTGGCTTTGCCGAACTCGAAGGATCTTTTGAAAAGAAAAGCTGCTGATCAGTCACATGTGCAGGCATGCATGCCAAGACCACAAGCCCATCATGTGATTCGACGCTTCACTTCAAGCATCTGCACACTGCAGCACACAAAAAACATGCTGGGGATGTGGGCGAACCCACGGATCACGGAGGCCCCCAGGTGGAAGCCGCTTCCATCGATGCCAGCAAGGTACCAGGTATGGATGCAGGCATGCATGTGTACAGCATGCTGTGGAACACGGTATGTGTAGCATGTATAAAGTATATGACATCTACAATATATATTATATTATATAATATAATAGACACGGAAAACAACGAACAGCCGGACAGGTCGAGAGGTATACAGAATACATATATATATAAATATAATATATATATATATATAATATTATATATAATATACTATTTATAGTATATAGCGCAGTCATCAGTGGAATGTGCAAGCGCAAAAAACGCTCGATCAAAAGCTGCATTAGCGGCACCAGTCTCACAAAATTGCCCTGACCCTGCCAACCCCCTAAAACTAAAATTGCTCTGATACATCGGGCTCTTATAATATATTTTGCTCGGAAGCCTCACCCCCTTAACCCGCAAATTTTGCTCTTCCGCCTGTTTCCGCTCTCTCGTTCTTTTTTTGCGCTTTGGGGAAAAAAGCAAAAAAGCTCAGGAGAGCTTTTTTTTTAAGCCTGAAGCTGTTGAAGGTACGTACATACATACATACATACATACATATATGTATAAACAAATAAATAAATATAAATATATAAATATAAACAAATAAATATATATATATATATATGTCTGTGTGTGCGTGCGTGCATGAACGGGTGTGTGCGTGTGTGTGTGTGTATCTTTTCGAGTGCGTGTGTGTTGGTGTGTGTGTGTGTCTCTCTCTCGGAGTGAGAGTGTGTCTCTCTCTGTGTGTGTGTGCGTGCGCGTGCGTGTGTGTCTGTGTGTCTCTCAGTGCGTGTGTGTGTGTGTGAGTTTGTGTGTGTGTTTGTGTATATATATATACACATGTATATGTTTGTTTGTGTGTCTCTGTGTGTATTTATGATATGTTCGGTTGTACTTAGATATACATGCGCACATGTTGGAATATCATGTTGGAATATGTCTTCGGATGCATCACGAGAGCCCGAAGCCGTGCTTTTCAAGGCCCCTGCTCTCTTGGCAGCATCACAAGGAGCATGGTTTGGGGAAGGGTTGGTAGCGGTTACAGTTGGACTCATTCTGGATTAGGAATTAGGGCTTCAGGCCCTGATAGGAAAGGGTTGGGTGGAGATGATTTAGTGGCTCAATTGGGGTTTGGGGCCTGGGGCCTAGAGGGGCTTAGGGTCTAGAGGGGTACGTGGCTTATAGACTTTTTCAGGTTAAAAAGCACCTCACCCCTTACCAATGTCTACTTTCCATGCATGCAAAATGAGTGAAACATCCAGTTCCTTCAATGTTCCAGCAACACTAGTGACGTAAGGTGTTGTCCTTTGATGTCCTCTCTAGATATTCCGAGGGAAAAATGGACAGAATGGGCAAGGTACCTTGTTCACGGTGGCGGTAATACGTTGACGTTGTGTTTATCGGGGTGGTTTTGCGTTTCTTTTGTTTGCCGTCTTGTGGTTTCCAAGCAAGGAAATAGGCACCTAACCCTTAACCTTGAACCCCATAATCCGACTACAGCCAAACGTGAGACCTCATCCAGGTTGTCCGAGTTGTGAGAGCGTAAACCCTACAAATGCTAAACCTCGCACTGTCCGGGCGGGCTGAAAACCCAGAGCAATTCAGGGTGAGAGTTTGGGTTTTGGGGCTTAGGTTGGGCTCGCAGAGTTGCAGTCGTCACAGCAACCGCGACGACCACACAAAGCTTCCTCGGCTCGTCTGCAGTGTTTCCAGCGTTGCAGGCATCATCCCACAAAGAGTTCCTGTGATGCACGGGCGGGCTTCAACGTTGCAGAAGTATCCTTGCCGAAATGCTCCGCTCCGTGTCGCTTATGGTGGTGCGACTCAGACATACGACCAAAAGTCTTCACCGATGCACTAGCCTTTCAAGGCCAAACTGAGACGAACGGAATCTGAGGGACTTGGGCCGCACTGGAACTGTGTAATTTTTATTAATGGGACGTGAACGCAGACTGTGCGATTGCCATAGTTGGAGCAGGATTGATGAGCAGCCAGCAAGCGAAAGCTCACAACGAAATACACATCGCTACGCAATCTGAGCAGTTTCGATTCAATGACCAGCGAGTAGGGCCTTGTCTATGTTCGTTAACCCAGACGCATCTGCGCAACATTTCTAGCAAGTAAAAGCACCCCCCCCCATATACGTATGTGTGTATATATATATATATCTACGTATTTCTCTCTCTCTCTCTCTCTCTCTCTGTGCATATGTAAAACTCGACCATACACTCCCCCCCCCTCATGAAACAAGCTTTCCCAGGAGTCCTGGCAGCGATCGCAGATCTGGCCGAAGCAGATGTCCGCTTTATCTGATTGAATAGCTTCCCTATTGCTGCTGTAAGCGGTGCAGACCAGGCCCCACCAAACACCGTTTCAATATCGCCCATATGGTCCGCGATACTGTTGATGATATAAATCCTGCATTACTTTAAGGACCCTAAACTATGGGAGTTATGGTGTAGTCCTTATTATGGGTAATGCAGGATTTACACCATCAACCGTAGTGGCTGTTTTGGATCGGGGAGTCGTCTTCGGGTACTCGGGTGACTCGTACAGAGACTCGACAGAGACTCGGGAACCCCTCGATCCAAAAAGAGGATAGTTTTGGGGGGTCTGGGAAAGGGGGCTGACTACTCGAGTAGCTCTGCGTGGATTTCTGGCCAAGACATGGATCAAGAGTGAAACTTCCGCAACGATGGGCTCCTGAACGCGAAACCACAGTGCATTACCCATAGGCTCCTAAGTAGTTCCTTTTTGTGGTTCATATTTAGAATCCTACAAGGTAATCCCAAAAAGGAACTACTAGGGAGCCTATGGGTAGGTTGAAGTATTGTGCTGAGACACCCGACGCAGACCAAACTGGCACAAGCTGAGCAAGAATTTGGGCTGAGGGGAAGGGGCAACTGCTTCACGCTCAGTCATCTATCCATATCCCGGGCGGCCTGTCGATGTTGATGGACCTCATCCTACTTTCAGGGTTTAGGGTTTCGGTCCTGACAGTTTTTGGGTCCGGTGTAAAACTTTCCAGGAAGCCAATTCTGCTGTGTCAGGCGTCCATGCTTCAGTTCTGGGTGCATGATGAGTAGGTAACCTTTAACCTTCTTGGGCTTATAGAATCCTACCATAATTGAAAGGTTAACCTTTTTTGGGCTAGGATACTCAGCCCCTACGTAGTGCATGCTGAGGGCTTGGGGATTTTTCATAGGGGACCCTAACACAGTACCCTAAATAGTAGGATCCCCATTATAAGGACCTCAAAATAAGGTACCCCCCAATTTTCGGAAAATCCCAAATGATTTCGGGAGGGTCTCATTACGGCCGTGACTATTTTGTGTCCCTGGAAGTCTTGTAGACGTTCCCCTTCCCAGATTGTCTCAGGTTCCTTTGGGCACAGCCCAAGGGATCTTTGGAACCATGAAGGCTTCTAGCTTCACGCCTGGCTCCCCTGCATCTCATTCTCTCGTGGGCACCGGAATTGTCGTGTCATGCTTAAGCCTATGCGCGGCAAACCAGAACACGATCCTTAGTGTAAGGTCCCCCCCCCCAAGGCAGACGTACAGGTCGAGAAGCCGATTCGTAGGGTATGGGGTTATAGAGGCTGCACGTTCAGCTTACGTCTGGTCCCACGAGAAAGGGCTAGGCTGAAGTCTTCTGCTAGCGGCTAGCGGCTACTGGCCTCAGGAACACTCTTTGCAATCTAGGCTTTGGCCTTTCTGTGCGCACAGGGTGAGGGTTTGAAGCATTTGGGGTTCAGAGTTCTTGCAAGGAGCATCTGAGGCTGAGAAGGCAAGAGGTTTATAAGGCTTTAGGGATTAGGGCTAAAGGTTTAGGGTTGCCTTGCATGCGCACAGAGCTCGGGGCGAGAGGCGGGTGGGAGTGCAGTGCAGGTCATCCATCAAGGACGGCGCATCATGTTCGTTCTGCCTGCATGTTGCCTGACACTGCAGTCCATCAGTGGATGTTAGTCCTCTAGCTCCTAGAGCCGAACCTGGACATCGATCACGCCATTGAAGAGGCCAGCATCCGATAGCAGATGGCAGATATCGTCTCACAAATATTTTTCTTCCTACGAGAACAAAGATCCTTGGGCCGGAACTGGGTGCTTTCTGACAGCTGCAAGTTGTCAGAAGGCTTAGCGTAGAGCTCAAGGCAAGGGTGCCAACCTAAACCCTGAATCGTTTCGGTTCTTCAGATTGCTTGACGTGTTCTCCTAAACTCTGGACCCCAAAGTGGGGTTCAGGGTTATCTGTCTTAAAACGGTCAAAGGCCACTGATGCCATTGCGCAGAGCGTTGGTTGATTCCGAAATTTACCTCAGACTCACAGTCTTCAAGCTCCTTCAACTACGGCATATCTCTGTGGAAGAAAGAGTTTGCTGGTGTAAAGAACTATAGTGCTTTGCAAAGAAAAAGCTGGCACAAGAAAGGCTCCAAAAACCCCATCAACTGTGGAATGCTTCCTTGAAGGACGAAAAGGCCGAATGAAAGAAAGTGCAAGTTTCAGGGGACGGCTGAGAGTGTTTCACTTGAGCTGGGGGTTCTTCACTATGGGGCCCGAAATACTTACCAATATTGTTCCTTATACCACTTAATCGACTTACAGTATCAGATACCCCAAAACACCATCTAAATCTTGAGATCCTCATACTAGGCCTTACTAGGCTCGTTCCCTGCGACCGGCAGTGGGAGTGCCGCAGGGGATGCACCCATGAAGAGTAGTCGGCATGTTAAG